CCCGGGCGCGGGGAGCGAGACCGAGCCTGGGCGCGGGCGACGGCGGCGGCTGTCAGCTCGCGCGGCTCATCCTGCTCCTGCTCAGGCTCCCGCTGCCACTGCTCTTCCTCCTCCTCCTCCTCCCGCGCCCGCCTCCACCACGCCGCGGGATCCCACCTGTTAGAGCGTCGCAGCCTTCGCCGCCGCCCCCCCCTCCCGCGCCCGCCCGCAGGGCCCAGCCCCCGCCCCGGCCCGGCCCCTGGGAGCGCGGGGGCCGCCGCGCCCGCAGACGCCGGACGGGCAGGAGCCGCAGGCGCACAGTGCCCAGCCCAGGGACCGAGTTCCCTCTGGCCGGGCCTGGCCCCCAGCCTCGCAGGCCGCGCTCCGCCGGGACTCGGCTGTCTCGCAGGGAGCAAGGCGCAGACCCACCCGGCCACAAGCGTCCCTGACTCCCCGGCAGCCCCGCCCGTTTTTAGCCCGGTGCAGGCAGTACAGGGCAGGGCCCCTTCCCTCCGGCAACTGGCCTGACCTCTCCGGTGCGGGCCCGGTGCCAGAAGAGCAGTGTTCCCCTGGGGAACCCCAAACCGCCATCCTCCGGGGCCCCCAAACTTCCTCCACTCTTGCCTCACCCCGAATTCCCCGAAGTTTGGCCGGCCTTGCTTCTGCCAGCCCCACTGCTCTGGGACAGCCCCAGGCCCCAGGGAAGTCGCCAACGGTGGCCTGTGGCCTCACTCAGGCCAACCCCACCAAGGCATCAGGCCACGCTCAACACACCCACAAATTCATCCCCAGATGCCCTGCCTTCGTGGGTGCACCTTGGCCTAGAATCTCTGCTAGTAAACTCAGGTGGCCCTGCCATCTCCCTCCTCCCTGGACAGGACTGACCTTGGGTAGAGCCGGCCCCCTCCCCCTTCATGAAATTACTCACATAAATAAAGGCACAGGCCAGTTCCCCAGGATTTTATGCCCTCCTTTCTTAACAGGTCCTGAGGCATTGCTGTGCTCCTCTCCCTCTTGTTCCCTAGGGTCTGTCCCCAACACCCCCAGGCTGCTCCTGCAGGCAAGTCACCACCCACGCCTGAGGCCCAGATTTTGGCCAGTGCAGGACCATTTCCTGCCCAGAAACTACTGGCTACCCCCCTCCCAAGGTCTCCCACCCTCATACCACCGTGCACCATGTCCTGGCAACTCCAAGAGGCAGAGGGGACTGGCCCATTTAACAGATGAAGGCCTGCGGCTTGGAGACGTGGGCTGACCTGCTCAAGGTCATGTAGGGAGGAGGGGAGGACTTCAGCTGAGGTCTGTCTAGCTCCTGCTACCACATCACACTGGAAGTCTCCCCTTGCCTTGCCTGGGATGGATCCCCACACTGTGTGTGCCAGGCTCCCCCAGCAGACAGGGAGCTCCAGATGCTCGGGGACCACATCTGACTCATCCCTACATCCCGGCCCTAGCACAGCACCTGGCACACAGTAGGTGCCAACAAATGCTGAAAGAACCCAAGAGGTCTTCCAAGTCCCAACCTCTCTCTGCATTTCACATAAGAGATTTATTTTTAGATAATTTACATTTCCGTGTTACTTTATATACACCAACAACTCCGCAGTCATTTTTCCTCTTTATCTTCCTAAGAGCTCTTTTCAGTTCCACGCTGGCATGCCCATTTTTCAGAGATGATCACTGGGGCTCAGAGAGGACAAGGCACTACTCAAAGGCCGCCCAGCCCCAGGGGTGCAGGAGCTTCTGCATGATTTGGAAGCCCATGTCCTGACTTTTCCAATACTCCCCTTGCCACTTACCCCCACAGCTGACCCCCTTCCTGAGAACAGAGGTGCTCTCTCCCAGTCATGCTAATGATCACTTGCAGCAAGGGTGCCCTGGTGCCTAGGTGGTGGGGCCTCTGTTTGACCCCGGGTCTATATGTCCAGTTCCAAGACTCGCTTCAATAACCACTAAGCCAGACCACCTCTCCATGCAATCTGGGTCTTTGCCTGCCTTTCAGAACCTAAAAACCTGACTGTCAATCTTGGGCTGAGTTCTAGTGCGGCAGAAGGTGTAGTATAGTAGTGAAAAGAACATAGGCTTTGGGTAGAGTCAAACAGACTTGAGATTGAATCCTAACCACCATTTGCCATGGCATTCTTCATGCCCACAGGTCCCAGGTGGCTGCTTCCCAAGGGAATGAACCCATCAGTCCACTTTTGCTGGGTGACCTCAGGCAGGTCACTGAACCCCAACTTCATCATCTGTATAACGGACAGACTGTCATGGATGTAAAGGTTCAGCAGAATAACATATGTGAGAGAGCCTGGCATATAACAGGTGCCTGATAAATGCCATTTTCTCCTTCCTGGAGGCTGCAAAGTTTTCAAGGAGGAAGATGAGCATTGTTGATAGTTTTCGTGTTTCATTCATTCAACAAACATTTCTTGAGCAGCTATTATGTGCCAGGTGCTGGGGATATAGCTATGGGATCCCCAAGCTATATGAGCTTCCCCCTTGAAGCTCACTGATGGGTGGGGAAGAAGGCCATTGAACAAACCAACTATAAGTAATTATAGGCTTGGGGAAAGGGCATGATGGAAATGGGGAGCTGTGAAAATGGATGGGAGGGACAGGTTTTCTGAGGGGGATCAGGAAAGACCCCTCTGAGGAGGTAGATTTGAGCAGTGACTTAAATGACAAGGAGCCAGCCATGCTCTGTTCTGAGGGAAGAGCATTCCAGGCTCAAGGAACCGCGTGTGCAAAGGCCCTGAGGTGGGAAAGAGATTGGCATTTTCCAGAAGCTGAAAGGAGGCCATTGTGGCTACAGTGAATTGAGTGAGGAGGGGGTGGAAGGCAGGAGACCGTGGGAGAAACTTTGGATGGCATTCTAAATGTGATGAGTTTTAAAGAGGGGAGAGACTGAGGAGTAGAGAGGAAGTGAGGAGTGGAGGGCAGCTACAGTGGCCTAGAGGTGTATGGTCAAGGGGCTTGGAGGTCAGAGGCCTTGGTTTCTCCTCCCGTGTGTCAGCTCACTACGCTAGGTGCAGCACAGCCTCTTGCCCCAAGAGCTACTAGGAAAAGAGCGGAGGCAGCTGAGCCGAGGGGTGAGAAGTGTCTACTGCAGCCCGTCTCCACTTCTGCGGAAACAGATCCCTGGACCTCTGGCCTGTCCGTGTCAGTGGCGTCCTTCAGCCAGAGTCCTGCCCCAGAGCATGCTGGGTGGGAAGTAAGTTTCTCACAATGCACAGCTTGGGGGGCGGGGCGTGGGCAGTCATGATCCTAGGGGGCAACTGCTCCTCCTTCCTTCCCATTCCAGACACCTGCAGAAAGGACAAAGTAGGCTGCCCCATTAATCATGGTCATATGCCCCTAATCATAGGTCAGGATTCTCAACCCTGACCTGACCTGCTGTCCAAGGGAGGCTGGCATTGAAGTCCAGGGAGTCCAGACCTCCAGGGCTCACATCCACTTCCAATACTGACACTAATGTACTGAGTCACAAGAGGCAGCGATGAAGGGTCTGCAGAGAATACAGTCTAACTCTGCCTTTTACAGATGGGTAAACTGAGTCCCACAGAAGGGAAGAGGCTTAGGGCCAGAGGCAGAGTGGGACACCTGGCCTTTGCCTTGTTTGGCCCAGATCACCAGCTCTAACTTTGGGCCCAGATGAGCAGGAAGGCTTGCAACTCAGAGGTGAGGTGGCCCTGACCAGCCTGGGCTGGGGCAGAGTTCCAGGCCTGGGGTGGGGCAGAGTGACTCAGGCGCCCTCAAGACACCTGTCCACCTGAGAGGAGCCTTGGGGAGGGGTGGTTTGCACTGTCAGGCACTGGTGCCACTTGGAAGCATCAAGGGCTGTGCAGCCATTGCCAGTCCCCCTTCCAGACGTCTCCCCGTGCAGTCTGCTGGCCCGCCGACCTGCCGCTCCAGGTCCACCTTACCCAGAAAGGCCCCTGAGCCCTCAGTGTGGTTCAGGGGCTGCCATGGTCGCTCACAGACCCCTGGGCTTTCCCCATCCCGACTCTGATCACATGACATCATGATTGCCTGGTGACCCGTACCTACCAGCACCTAGCAGAGGAGCTGAGGTTTAATAATTCTCGAATAGTTGAGCAAATGAATGAATGAATGGGCTGGTTCTCAAAATGCACGTCTCAGACTGCCGTCTACAGTATTTTCCACTACCCTGCTCTGCCGCCTCCTAATCAATCAATCCATCAGCGTCTAGTGCGCTCTTCCAACAGGCTCGGAGCAACCTTACTGGAGCGCCATGATTTCTCTAAGCCTCAGTTTTCAATGCCAGTAAAATGCAGATAATCATTATACCCGACTCACAGGGCCATTCTGAGAATCTGCACTCGAATGTTAGCCCTGTTATCACTGTGTCCATCTGCCACTCATGGTGACGTTGTTGTGAGTGTCCTCTGTGTGTCAGGTGCCTTGCCTGGTGTTGGGAACACAGCTGTAAACAAGATGGACCACTCCAGCCCTCACGGAGCTCAGGGACTGGCTGACTTCAAAAAGATGGCAACAAATGGGTTGAGAATCAGAAAACAGAAAGGTGTCACAAGAACATGTGATAGGAGGGCTCGGGATGAGTGTTCCAAGAAGCCCGATCCTAAGGGTTCCTTGG